AAAGTCAACAATGTGGGGTAAATCAATATTGAGTGTATACAGAAACCAAAAAGTGCCTAACAGTAAACAATTGGTAACAGAACCACATAGAAGAAAAAAATTCAAACATCCTAACATTTTGAACACAATGCTTTGGCTATATACCCTTGATGGGAAACATTGTAAAGACAAAAAGAATTGCAATAACAATTTTAAAATAGTGTTTTATTTATTGTACTGATATGAGGATAGAAATTCTGAAATGAATTTGTTGTATTGTAGGATTTAAAAATATAAGTAATAAGTAAATAAATATATTGATGCTTTTGCTCGCTGTGAGAAAAATGAGGAATAATAAAGAATTAGGAAATTAACAGAAGAATCCTATGTTACTGGATTGGGATTAAAGGCATAGACACATAGAAGCAAAAATGTCCTAGTAGCAATGAGCATACCTAGATTCCATATCTGGTTTTATAAAACAATTGACCACTAAAAAGAACACAAGTTCCTTATATGAGAGGACTGATTGCAGAACTGGGGCATGGAAAGTAAAAGGTGAATCTGGCATCATTCATGCCAGAAAGTAAGTGCTCAAAAACTGATGGTACATATTAAAAGGAGTTCTCATGAAATAATCTAGGACAATTTGAGCATCAAAATAATTAAGTACAGCAATGACTTGAGTTATATTGATTACAACAGAATTCAAAAGTTTTTACCAATATGAATAAATAAATGGCAAAGGGTGGGAGGGAAAACTCTTCCATACAGTATAATGCTAACTAAAAGAGGAAGAAAGAAGGATAAAGCAAGAAAAATTATCATTCTATAATCACATAATAATAAATGATTTAGGGAAGAATTATCAATGGATTTTAAATTACTGGGTCAAAGTTTGTTGGAAAGTAATTTCTTAATTTCCAAATATATGGAGATTTTCTAGTTATCTTTTAAAAAATATTTTATTTATTTATTTGACAGAGAGAGATACAGCAAGAGAAGGAACACAGGCAGGGGAAAGGGGAGCGGGAGAGGCTTCCCACAGAGCAGGGAGCCCAATGCAGGGCTCGATCCCAGGACCCTGGGATCATGACCAGAGCCGAAGGCAGACGCTTAACGACTGAGCCACCCGGGTGCCCCTAGTTATCTTTTGATAAACATTTCTATCTCATTTGTATTTTAGCCAAAGAATATGTACTTTATGATTCCAACAGTTTGGAATTTAATGAGAATTGATTTATAGCCAAATCTATGGTTAATTTTGATAAATATTCTTGTTCAAATGCTGGGAATATATATTTTTCACTTGTTAGTGAGTTCTGCTTTGTTCATTCTTCTCATACAATTATTGAAAAAGGTATGTTTAAAATTTCACACCATGATTGTAGATTTGTCTGTTTTTATAGTTCTGTCCATTTTTGATTTAGTAATGTTGAAGCCATATTATTATACACATACAAGTTCATTATGCTATGTCTTTCAGATGAATTAAATCTTTTATCATTATGAAATAAACTTTTTAAAAAAATTTTTTTGCTGAAAAGTCCTCTATAAATCTGTCAGATTATTAATAAAGCTACACAATTTTTCTGTCAGTTACTGTTCATGTGGAGTACCTATTTTTATTTCTCACTTTCCTTATGATTTATATATGCCTCTTGTAAACACATAGTTGGATTATTTTTTCAAATCCTGTCTGACAAACTTAGAATATTGAGTTCCATTTTCAATTAGTATAATTACTGATACATTTGGTTTCAATTCTGCCATCTTAGTACGTTTTTATATTTTCCCCACCTGATCTGTGTTGCTTTTTCTATCTTTTATTGCCCCCTATTGGATTTGCTTTTTTATTCTATAATATTCCTCTATAAATTTGGAAGTTAAACATTCCTTTTCTATTAGTGATTGCCTTTGAATGTACAAGTTATACCTTATTCATCAAAGCTTAATATTAAATATCATTTTTATCTTTCTCCTGGATAATGAATAAAGCTTACTTTCAACCTGTTTACTTATATGCTATTTTTTGTGAATTTTAATTCCATAAATATTCTGAACTTCAGAAGACATAATTATTTTTGTTTTATACAGTCAATTTTTATTCATATTTAACCACATATTTACCATTTTCTTTTTTTCCAGTGATTCTTTTTTTTTTTTAAATTTGAGTATCGTTGACACACAGTGTTACATTTGTTTCAGGTGTACAACACAATAATTCAACATATATCATTTTCATTGTTCTTGTTTCTTGCACCTCCATTCTTCCATCTGTGACCATTTTCCTTTGTTTTAAGAACATCCTTTAGGATTTCCTTAAGTAGGAGTCTGATTTTGTCTTGTTCTCCTGACTTTTGCTTGCCAGATAGTCTTCATTTCACTTCAATTCCTGAGGTGTAATTTTGCTGAGTATATGGTTTTAATTTAGCAGTCACTTTTTATCAGCACATCGACACTGTCATTTCAATATCTAGTTTTCTTTGTTGCTGTTGAGAAGGTATTCATCCGTCTTATCATAATTCTATTGAAGATGATCTCTTTATTTTTTCCTCTTTAAAATCAATTTTTTTCTTTTTTTCTGTAATGTTGTTATGAGGCGTCCAAATGTTGATTTCTTCTTATTCATTCTGCTTGAGGTTTGTTGAGTTCTTTCAATGTAAGAATCGGTGTCTTCAATTCCAAAAGCCACTATTTCTTCAAATATTGCTCTTCTGCCATTCTTTTCTCACCTTGTAAAAGTCTTCTCATTTTATTTTGTTTTTAAGGTTTATTTATTTATTTTAGAGAGATTGAGAGCACATGCATGGAGGGCAGGGACAAAAGGAGAGGGAGAGAGAAACTTAAGCAGACTCCGTGCTGAGAGTGGAGCCTGATGCAGGGCTTGATCTCATGACCCTAGATCATGACCTGAGCTGAAACCAAGAGCTGAACGCTTAACCGAAGGCACCACCCAGGTTGTATGTCTGTTCTTACTCTTTCCTCTCTCTTCTGTATTCTTCTAATTCTCCTTGCTTCATTCATCACTGTTTCTTCTAATCGACCTCCAGTAATGTTTTTAGTTATGTCTAAACTGCCTTTGAGTTCTTGGGTTTTTGTGTTATGCCTAAGCTCCAGATTTTCCAACTGCTTCTCAAATCTTAAATGTCCCTGTTTGTAGTTTGTAGTTTTTTTGCTGAAATATTTAAATTCAGCTTATAATTTTCATATACAGAATACAAATAGTTCTTTAAAGTCTATGTCTGGTAATTCCACTACCTTGAGTGTCAGTGAGTTTGTTTGTATTATCTTTTATTATGTTATAGCTGATTCAAGTTGTTTTGTCTTTTCATGTGTCTGTTTATCATTGTACTCTAGCTACTGGAATTAAATATTATTAAAAGAAATAATTTGAAGTGTACAGTGATTTTTTTTGCTTATATCAGAGAAATCAGAAACTTGAAAAATATGAAATCACCTTAATCCAATTTTCAGGCTTCAGATTTTTATTGGTTACACACATAACTTAATCCTGGCCTGAATTTCATGTCAAGAGTGGTTTAAGCCTAGTCCATCCTTATTTCTAGTGTACAGGTCTTTGGCATTCAAAAAATAAGCTCAAGGTGGTCGAACCTTATCATACTCTGTATTTCTGCTTTAGACCTTCTTTGCTTGTGAGAATGTGAAATGAGCTTCGCAACATTCAGTCACATCTTCAGGTTTGCAAATGCATCCTTGGCAAAAGTGACCCAAAAGTCATAGTCATTCTTCTTGGATTTCTGTCTTTTTCTGGATTCTTCACTATCTTATTAGCTTCTCAATGCTAATAGTATTTTTTTCCATACTTTTTTGTTGTCTTTAACACAAACATCATTGCAGATTGCCCATCTGTCATTATTAGAAGCCAATGCCCCTAATACTCTAATTTAATTTAGCTGTATATTTCCTTTATAAGCACTGTAAGAACTGGCATTTTTTCAAATGAGCTCTTTGGAGTGGAGGAAGTAAAATCCATGAGCCCTTGAATATGTAGGGCAAACTGTGTAAATAGATTCACTTTTTTTCTAGGAGAAGTTTTGTTGCTTTTTATCCAAAGGTGTGTGTTGTTTGTGTGTGTTCACCTACAATAGAACAATCTTAAAACTTAAATTTATTTTATCAATAAACCCAGAATCAAAATCTTCAGATGATACCAGTGAAGCCTGTATAGATGTCTTGATCTTGTTCTAAACTTTACCAGAACCTTTTATAAAAACATTACTCTGAGGAGGAATTATTTAATGAGATACTAAATATAAGTTCCAACTGGAAGAGGAGGAAACAAAAGGAAAAAAAAAAGATTGTAAAAGCCCTTACAGTCCAATTGGTTAAGTTTTGTGACTTGAATATTAGCATTTTTAAGGCATTTGTGAATATCTCAATCATAAGCAATAAGATGATCATTTCTCTCCCTTCAACCTCCCCCAAATCTTTAAAAAATGGATTTTTTCTCTTTTTTACATAAGCAGAATCTAAGAAGATATTTAAAAACAGAGGCAAAATAGTATATTTTAGGTCAATTAACAGCATAAATTTAGACATGTTTACTTCATGAAGATTCATGTGACACTTGATTTTTCCACTCAAGAAGATGTGAAATTAGAATAAAAATATTAAGATTAATACTCTGTGATAGATTTATCTTTTGGAAGATTTTAATGCTATATTTAAAAAAATTAGACTACCATATATCTTTGTCTTCAAATCGTTTTAAATATCTCAAAGATTATGTATCTGTGTTGCAGAATTCATTGGCATACTAATGCATAAAATAACTTAGCAGCATAAATAGAAACTTTACATTTACATATTAACATACATTACATTTCTTTCATTATTGTTAACCTAAATATTAGATATATAGGTTAAGAATAATTCTTAAATAGAATCCCGATTAAACGCAAATGTTACCAGTCGACGTCTGTACGTTGTTCACAGTACATAATCCGAAAGTATTGAGCATAGCCGCTGCAATTCTAATGGCCAAGAAAGTTATTTACCTATCGAAATTGCCCAAACAATAGCAATCTTCATGATGGCCTTAGTCCGCGAATTGAAACGGCTATGCTCAATAGGATTACGTATTGCTACATACCGATCCAGCGAGATAGCGCAGAGGTGCATGATGGACGCTGTAGAAAATAAAACATCCAAAGAAATCCAGACGGGGCACAAATATCTAGGTAGTGGCCAGACATAATCTGAAAAAGAAAAGAGAGAAGACAAGAACATATTATCCAAATTAAACAATCTAGTTTTACATTTTAGTCTACTTTTTTTTTTTCCTCTCATAATCTAAGTTTTTTAAGGAGAGTGAAATTTGGGAAACATGATTTTCCATAGTAATGATAATGATGACAATGATGATGATAATACCTTCTGTGTTACATACATTATTTCTTATTGAGATAAAATTTACATAATATTAATCATTTAAAAGTGTACCGTCCTGTGGCATTTAGTACAGTCACAATATTATGCAACCTTCACTTCTTTCTAGTTTCAAAACATTTCATCATTCCAAAAAGAAACCACTATTCATTAAGCAGTCACTCCCCAATCTCCCCTCCCCCAGCCCCTGCAAATCTCTAATCTGTTTTTTGTCTCTATGTATTTAACTAATCAGTATATTTCATGTAAATGGAATCACACAATAGGTGCCTGGCTTCTTTCACTAACATACAGTTTTCGAGGTTCATCCATTTTGTAGTATGTATTAGTACTTTATTCCTTTTTATGGCTAATGCTCTTATTAGTTGAGATTTTTTTTATGCTCTTGCAAATAGAATCCTTTTTAAAATTTCCTTTATGGACAGTTCATTGCTAGTATGTAGAACTGTAACTGCTTTTCGTGTGTTAATCTTGTATACTGCAACTTTGCTGCATTCATTTATTAGATCTATTTTTGTGTGTGAGGGTTTTTTAGGATTTTCTGTTACAACATCATGTCATCTTTGAATGGAGATAATTTTACTTTTTCTTTTCAAATTTTCCTTTGCCTTTTATTTTCTTTCTTGTTTAAGTGCTCCATATATGATTTCTAGTGCACTGTTGAATGGAAGTAGTAAACACAGCCATCTTGTCTTTTTCCTGATCTGAAAAGAAAATCTTCCATTCTTTCACAATTAAGTAGGATGTTAGCTGTGGGTTTTTCATAAATGCCTTTTATCATGTTGAGGAAGTTTCCTTCTATTTCTAGTTTGTTGGGTGTTTTCATCATAAAAGAGCGATGGATTTCGTCAAATGCTTTTTTTTTTTGCATCATTTGAGATGATCATGTGGTTTTCTTACCTTAATTCTATTAATGTGATGCATTACATTGGTTGATTTTTACGTGTTGAACCATCTTTGCATTCCTGTGATAAATCTCATTTGGGCATGGTGTATACTGTGATGTTATATTTAGTTTGCTAGTATTTTGTTGAGGATTTTTGCATCTATATTTATAAGTAATATTGGCCTATACTTGTCTTTTCTTGTAATGTCATTATCTGGCTTTGGTATCTGGATAATGCTGGTCTAATAGAATGAGTTACCAAGTGTTCCCGCATCTTCTATTTTGTAGGAGTTTGATAAGAATCAGTGTTCATTCTTTAAATGTTTGGTAAAATTTGTCAGTGAAGCCATGTGGTCCTGGACTTTTCTGTTTTTGTTTTCTTCTATTCTCTATTTTGTTCATCTCCATTTTAATCTTTACCATTTTCTTTCTTTTGATAGTTTGGGTTAAGTTTGTTCTTCTTTTCTAGCTCCTTAAGATCTAGAGTTAGGCTATTGATTTGGGATCTTCCTTCTTTTTAAAGGTAGGCATTTACAGCTATAAATTTCTGTCAGAGCACTGCATTTGCTGTACCCCATAAGTTTTGATAAGTTTTCATTTCACTCTTCTCAAAATATTTTCTAATTTCATTTGTAATTTCTTCTTTGATCTATTGGTTGTTTAATAATGACTGTGGTGTTTAATTTCCACATATTTATGAATTTATCAGTTTTCTTCTGTTATTGATTTCTAGTTTCATTTCATTTTGGAGAAGATCCTTTGAATGCTAATACTTAAAAATTTTAATGCTTGTTTTGAATATGATCTATCCCAGAGAATGTTCCATGTGCACTTCAGAAAAATATTTTTTCTGCTGTTCTTGGATGGGGTGTTCTATATATGTTTGATGGGATAAGTTAATTCATAGTATTGTTCAAGGCCTCTATTTTCTTATTTATCCTGTTTAGTTGCTCTATTCATTATTGAAAATAGGATATTCATGTCTCCAAGTATTATTTTAGATCTTTTTTTCCATTTTTGTCAGTTTTGCTTCCTATATTTTTGGTATCTCTTGTTGGATGCATATTTAGTTGAAATTATTATACCTTCTTGATGCTTTGACACTTTTATCAATATATAATGTCCTTCTTTGTCTCTCATAACAAGTTTTGTCTTAAGTTCTATTTTGTCTGACACTAATATAGCCACCTCAGCTTTTATTGGTTACTATTTGCATGGAATATCTTTTCCATCCTTTTACTTTAACCTATTTGTGACTTTGAATCTAAAATGAGTCTCTTATTGATAGCATATACAGGAAGGTTCTTTCTTAACTCATTCTGACATCATGTATTTTTAACAATCCTGTTAATCTTTGCCTTATAACTGGACAGTTTAGTCCATGTACATTTAAAATAATTACAGCTACCAGAAGAATTTATTTCTACATTTGTTATTTGTTTTTATATGATACATATCATTTCCTCATAAATTTTTCTGTTATTCACTTTATTTGTGATTAATTGATTTTCATAGGGTAACTTTTGATTTTTTTCTTGTTTCCTTTTCTGTATATTATTTTAATTTTTTTCTTAACTTGGGAATTAAAATGATAACCTTAACATTATAATAACCAAGGTTTAATTAATACTAATTTTGTTTCAGTAGTATACAAATTTTTGCTCTATCTCTTTCTGTCTTTGTTATTGTCACAAATTACACCTTTACACATTGTGTGGCCATTAACATAAATTTGTAAGTATTTCTTTATGTATTTGCCTTTTATAGAAGATAGTAAACAAAAAAAGAAATAATCCCAAAGCTAGAAAAGAAATAAGAAGGTAAGTAATCCCATTAAGTTAACATGTATGGAAAGATGAAGGACCATAGAAAAGTTTAAAAGTTCCCATAATTCATTTCATAAAATAATATAGTGTCAATTTCAAAATCTATAAAACACTGAAAGAATGAGACTAGAGACAAATAACATTCATTGATATAGATTCAAAGTTACAAACAAAATATTAACAAATAGAATTCAGCAAAGTGTCAAAGGAATAATACCATGTAAAAACAAAAACTATTTCAGGGATGCAAGGGTAATTCAATATCATAAAAATCTGCCAATATTATACCTTATATTAACATTTGTAAAGATATTTTATGACCTTTTAATAGATATTGAAGAATAGTTTGATAAAATACAGAAGCTATTCCTAATTAAAATTTTAATTATATAGTGATGAAAGGAATCCCCTTAAATTTTATAATTTACCAAAAACCAATAACAAATATTATAAACAATAATGAAATAAGTACATTTCCATTACATTAAATTCAGAAATTAGACAGGACAGAAATTTACAGTCTTCAAAGCAGCTACCATAATCATGCTCAATGAAGGAAGGGTGGAAGCTCTTGAAATAAACAGAAAGAGGACATCTCAAATAAGTAGAATTTATAAAAAGAACCAAATGGAGAATTTAGAGTTGAAAAAACATATAATATCTGAAAGAAGAAAATCACTGTATGGTCTTAATAAAAGAATGGAGATGACAGATGAAGAGCCATTAAAACTGAATGTAGATTAATAAAAATTATCCAAACTGAAGAAGAGTGAGAAAAAAATTGAAAATAAATGAATATAATAGGGACCTATGGAACAATATGTAGATGTGTAACATTTGAGTCATTGGAATCTGAGGAGGGGAAAAAATTGATACAGAAAAAGTATTTGAAGAAATAATGGTCTAAAACATCCCATATTTTTGGTGAAAAACAAATTTACAGATTTAAGAAGTTCTGCAAAACCCAAATGGTTAAACTCAAAGATAATCATGCTTCAAAGATAAAGGAAACCATCTTGAAGTAGCTGAGAAAAATGACTTTTTAGGTATAAGGAGCAATGGCTTGAACAACTTCAAATTTTTCATCAGATATCATGGAGGCCAAAAGGCAGTATAATCATAACCCAGAATTCTACATCCAGTGAAAATATCTTCAAAAAAAATGACTGTGAAATAAAGAAATTTTCATATGAGGGGAAACAATGAACTGATTGACAGGAGACTTGCTCTAAAAAATGCTAAAAGATGTTCTTCAGAAAGAATTTATACTACAAGAAAACTTGTAAACTTCAAGAATGAATGAATGAAGAAGAACAGAATTGGTAAATAATTTGGGAAACAGATTATTTTTCTTATCTTAGGTCTTTAAAATACATGTGACTATTAAAAATTATAACGTTGTCTGAGAAGTTTCTCCATGTGTATAGATTTATCCCCATATTGCAATTAAAACAAAAAGGAGGAAAGGAACCTATATGGTTATAAGGTTTTTATATTCACTTGAAGTGATAAAATAGTAACTGTAAGAAAATTGTGAAACTTTAGGTATGTATATTTTAATCTAGAGAGCAATCACTAAAAAAAAAATTGTATGAAGAAATATAGTCAAAAATCCAGTAGATCAATAAAAATTGAATACTAAAATAAAATGCATAAACCCCAAAGTAAATCAGAAATAAGAAAAAAAAAGGAATAAAAAGAGATAAATAGAAAACAATAAAATAGTAAGCATAATTCCAAACTAAACAATACTTGCGCTAAATGGAAATGGTGTAAGTATAAATTGTATCAATTTAAAGAGACAGTCATGCTGGATTTAAAAGAACAAAAATAAATATTACCCAGTTATATGCTGTCTATAAGGAACCCTATAAGTTTGAATATGATGATATAGGTAAACATACAGTAAAAGGACAGAAAAGGACACACAATGCAAACACTAATCAAAGGACTACTGGAGTTGTTATGTTAATATCAAAGTAAATTTCAGATCAAATAATATTACTAGGAATAACATAGACCATGTTACAATGATAAAGTTGTCAACTTATCAAGGCTATATAACAATCCTAAACATTTATGTACATAATAACAGAAT